AAAAAATGTTAAACAAAAAAAAGAAATATAGATCACCCCCCCCCCCCCCCCCCCCCAAAAAAAAAAAAAAAAAAGGAAAACAAGAAAAAATGAAATCCTGAGTCATGGACGAAAACAAGTTAAAACCACTTGGTTGTGTGGCCATTAGCCAATTGTCATGACAAATAAAAATACGGGATTTTTCTGGCCTTCCATTTATGAGGGCCCTCTGGTCCCATTTCAGAATTGTGCCCAGGGCTCCCTGCATCGATTACTCGCCTTTGTTTCGCTTCCCATGGGTGTTTTGGGGATTCAGAAGTTTGTTTGGATTAGAAATCTGGAAATGGCCTGTGGATCTGATTCTTTTTTTCTTTGAAGTACTGTGGATCTGATTCACAATGAGGTAATGTTTTGATTTCCTNAAATCTGGAAATGGCCTGTGGATCTGATTCTTTTTTTCTTTGAAGTACTGTGGATCGGATTCACAATAAGGTAATGTTTTGATTTCTTTAGGTCTGAATCTGCATTGGATACAGTCTTTAAATTAATTTTTCCAAATTTTTCGTTGATCTTCACAATCTAAGCTTCTCACTGTGATCTTAACTGACGGAACAACATTTACATGCCCTATTACAGAAGAAAAATGCACAGAATTAGTTATTTGGTATAATTTTGCCTTATTTTATATTGGTTTGATAGCAGCATTTAACATACCCTAGAATGGGTTTGATTATGTAGTTGAATGCCTGAACTACATTTAAATGGGATATTGGTTCATTATATTGGAAGAAGCCTATTTGGGTTAGTTGCACTTCGGTGGGAATTTACTGTCTTTGTTGCTTGCATAACTAGCAATGGATGGTTCCTCAGCTGGGAATAATTTAATGCCAAGCCAATCAGGTGGTTTTTCAGAATTGCAAGGATCCATGCAAGTTAATCATCAGCAAAATCCACCTCCTTCTCAGAGTTTATCGGTCCATCCTGAAAAAGTTCAAGATGTTTTCCCTTTCAGCGTTGGGATTCTTGGGAACACGCAAGACCTCAATCAATCATATTCCCCATTTGACAGTAATAACAAGGGGAAGAGAGCTATGAATTTTGCTAGTAATGATGAAAGGTCAAATGTTTTGGAAGAAGGCGTTGATGGGCATACTGAAAGTGGTGGAGAAAAAAGTGAGTCCCTAAGGCAGCGCCTAAGATGGACAGATATAATGGTGAAGCTTTTGATTACTGCTATTTCTTACATCGAAGAGGATGCTACCCCTACTTGTAATGGTGGTCGAGTACAAAAGAAAGGGAAGTGGAAGGCTATTTCAAAGGTCCTTGTCGAAAGGGGTTATCATGTATCGCCTCGGCAATGTGAGGATAAGTATAATGATCTGAACAAAAAATATAAGAGACTGAATGCTATCCTTGGTAAAGACACTTCTTGCAGGGTTGTTGAGAACCCTGCACTTCTGGACTCGATGGATCTATGTGAACAAGCAAAGGGAAATGTTAGGAAGATTTTAAGCTCTAAACAACTGTTTTATCAACAAATGTGTTCATATCACAATGGAAACAGGCTCTTTCTTCCTTATGATTGGACTCTACAACAATCATTGCAGTTGGCTCTGAAAAGAAAAGATGGCTATGATCGTCATCGGGTGTCACCGGGGGTCTCTCTAAATAGAAACAAACAAACAGAACAACGTGAAGATGTGGGGTTTGGCAATGGCTTGAATGTTTTAAACGGTAGCAGAAGATCGGATGTTCATCCTCCTATTAATAGTACCTCTGTAAATCATGATTCCACCAAGGGTGGTGAGAGAGAACAGTCACAGAATCAATGGATGGAGTCACGCTCACTTCGGTTGAAAGAGCAGAGGTTACAGATTCAGGCACAGATGTTGGAATTGGAGCAGCAGCGGTTGAAGTGGCTGAGGTCTAGCCTGCAAGAAGATATGAGACTAGACAAGATGATGCATGAGAACGAATTAATGAAACTTGAGAATGAACGCTTGGCATCAGAACTTAGACGGCGAGAAATGGATCCTGATTACCGCTGAATAATGTATGTGGGTATGTTTCATTTGTTCCCTAAGCTTATGCTGTGCAACTTAGTTCTCTTTTCCATTTGTTACTTTTTCTTAATCATATTTGGAATGGCTCATTACAGATGATAAGCTTTGCTAGTTCATGCTATGGATATTGGAAATTAGCTATCTTATATTGCCTAGTGGTTCTAGTAATTGCATTGGAATTCTCTTCTTACCTGTTACCTGCAAAATGTGGCTTTCTTGGAAGATTGTTGTTACGAGTACATGCAATTCTAGTTTGTTTTTTCGTTTAAATTTTAGAATCCCTAGTAGGCTGGCTTCAGTGTGTGTGACAGATGATATTTTTCCTTAGAACTTTACTTCATGATTGGGTGAAACAAAATATAGGACTGGGCCTGTAAGTGAGGATGGGGAAGGTACTTTGAACGATTACAATGTTTGGCACAGTGTAGCTGATAGTTGAGNTCATGATTGGGTGAAACAAAATATAGGACTGGGCCTGTAAGTGAGGATGGGGAAGGTACTTTGAACGATTACAATGTTTGGCACAGTGTAGCTGATAGTTGAGCCAAATTGTTGATTTTGATGAATCCCAAGTTTGTCTATGAATTCTAGAACTAGGTTCTATGTCATCAATCAGTAGGTTGGTATACGTATAATTTCTACAATTTTTAGATTTTTCTTGTGTATTATACCTCACGTGGTGTGCATACCCGATGAATTGTTTGTACATTTCCGATGAGTTGCCGCTCGTCATCAATTTGACATAAATTTTTTTTGAAAAAGCCAATTCATGGGTTGTGTTTCTTGATGGACTTTCCACATGGTTTACTGCCTTTACTATGAATTCAATACTCTCTGTAAGGTTGGAAAATTTATAGTAAACGTTTAGTCCTCATGAAGTAGAGGCAGTGTTATAGCAGGTAAAGTTTACCGATTATAAATATCTATTTATATATTTGGGTATTTCATTTTTCACTTTTTGTGTCGATAGAAACCGATATTGGGCATGTTTAATGCGTAGTTTAAATAGATAATTTTTAAGGGTTTTATTCAAAAATAAGTCAGGTCCATTTGAAACTTGATTTTTTTATCGGCTTATGCAGCAGTTTTTTGAATTCAATAAAATTTATTTAGGTTGATTCAAGAAAAAGATTTTGAGTTTTTTTCTTCAATTTTTTTGAGTTTTGTCCCCGGTTTTACATGATTTTTTAGATTATTATATTCATAAAATATTATTAATGACGTAAAAAAAATTAAAATTTATATTTTGAAAGTTATTATGTATAATCTATATATACATGTAATTATTTTTTTTTATTTTGACACAAAAAACTAAAAAAGTTAGAAAGTCACTCTAAATAGATTTTTTTAACTTTTTAAGCTTTTTAAAGAATATTCTAAATAATTAGCTCTAAAATTTTTTGTGAAACTTTTTAAATTACAGTTTTTCACTTAAAAAGTTAACCCTAAACATGCTCATTACAGTTAGCAGATTCCAAAATGGTTCGGACAACGGTGAGTTGAGTTGAGAAAATGGTATTGGAGAAGAGAGGGTAAGTGGGCATTTTTGGGTTCATGGTAAATGGGCCTTGATCCATTAATGTGGTTTGACTTCGGTTTTTGTCTTCTTTATTAGCATAATGGGCCATCACCCAGGGATTAGAAGGACTACTTTCTCCCATGGTTAAATGAGGTGTGCCATTGATGCTTTATTTATGAGTAATTACATAGACGGATTAAATATTTAATGTGACGGTGATGCTAAGTAATTATTTTTACATGATATCATTAACTAATTATAAAAAAATTTATGACTTAGTAAATTCTACTATTCCGATAATCCAACCTAATGACTTGTGAACAATAACTAATCTATTGTACTAGTTATTAGAAGTGGCGGTTATTAAAATAATGGAATTCACTACGCCATATGATATTTTATAATTAGGTAGCGGTACCATGTGTCACAATCAAGGATTAAAATTTCGTTTCGGTGTATTGTTTCAGTCATCTAGAAAATAGAAACGTTTCGACTCGTTTCAGAAACATAATAAAAAAAAATAAAAAATTTAAGAATTATTTTTTAAAAATATTGGTTTAAATATATTAAAATATCTTGAAATATTTTGAAACATTTAGAAACAATTGTGCAAATGCATTGAATTATAATACATCTCGAAATATTATAATACATCTCAAAACATTATGAAATATCTCGAAATATTAGAATTTTAATTTTATCACTGATTCGTTTCGGTCTCTTTGAAAACGGAAACGTTTCGGACATTTCGAAACGATATTTTGATCCTTGGTCACAATAACATTTACATCACCATTAGGTTAAATATTTACTCTATACAATGGTGTGCAATTGATGTTTTAAATAATTTTTTGTTTTTTTTTTAATTTAACGGTCAAAGGTGTTTGAGTCGGTTTATGCGCATTTGACTAATTCCCTCTCCGGTTCGGTCAAAGACAGGTCATCTACGCTGAGACTAAAATATTCATTAGAGATAAACCCTTCGTGGCCTGACTCCAAGAGATTGCCCTATTTCAACTGGTGGGTTTTTTTTTGTTTTAAATTTTTTAAAATATTTGTTGGCAGTACAATTGGTTGAATTTGAATCAAAACCCTAAAAATGGAAATTGTGATGACTTTCCTACCTTTCATTCTTTTTCATTGACTAAAATGGGTTAATATATACAGATTACAGCCTGTGATTGACAATCTCCCACCTGTTAATTATCACTGCCAACCATTGCCTTCCTGCCCTAAATTTATCAATGCTATAGATAGAATATAGGAGCTGCCATATTAACCTAAGCACACCTTTATAAAACTATATATAAACCCATCTAGGTGGCCACAAACTCTGTCACAATCATTTCAGCCATCTCTCTTCTCTTCTTGTAATCATCCATCTTTCTCTCACTAAATACCTTAGGAGAGAGAAAGAGGGAATTCCTCTTGTTTAAGGATTAGAAAAATGGGTGCCTGTGCTAGTGTGCCTAAGGCCATGAGAGGCGAGACGGGTGCTGCGCCACCACCGGAGCCACAAAAGGAGGAGGAGGTTACCACGGAGGTGACGGAAGTGAAGCCAGAGGGAGAGGTGAATGTGGAAGAAGAGGAGAAGGCAGAGGGTGGTGATGAGAACAAGAAAGAGAATGAGAAGGTGGCAGAGGAGAAGGTTGATGAGAATGACAAGCACCATTCTCTTGGGTCATTGCTCAATGAGGTTAGTGTTTTATTACATGAATTTTTGCGAAGCTCATTATTTAGTTTTTGGTTTCTTATTCCAAGAAAAATTTATTTGGCAACACAATTTTTAGTCAACATTTCTAATAAATTTCTAATCACTAGCACAAGTACATTCACAAACACATGTTGACATATATGCATCTACTATCTAATTTAGAGATCTAATAAAAAGGCGCACCCAGTATACGAGGTTTTCATCATTGTAAAATTTGAAGAAACTTCGATCTACACAGATTTACCCTTGCAAATAAAGAGATTGTTTGCACCACTCAAACCGTGACGTCCAAGTCATAATGGAACAACTTTACAATTGCGCCAANTAGTCAACATTTCTAATAAATTTCTAATCACTAGCACAAGTACATTCACAAACACGTGTTGACATATATGCATCTACTATCTAATTTAGAGATCTAACAAAAAGGCGTACCCAGTATACGAGGTTTTCATCATTGTAAAGTTTGAAGAAACTTCGATCTACACAGTTTTACCCTTGCAAATAAAGAGATTGTTTACACCACTCAAACCGTGACGTCCAAGTCATAATGGAACAACTTTACAATTGCGCCAATGCCCACCCAATTTAGAAATCTAATATCGGGACTTAATCAACTATAATTGTTGGATTCAAAAGGGCTCAAGATAGAAACCATTTGCTCGTTGATAAGTTGCTTCAGCGGTTTGTAGTTTAATTCGTGAAAATGCTTAGTTAGGGCAATATTGATGGACATAATTGTGTGATGGGATGTCACACAAAGCAATTAGGAACACAACTTTCTCAGATTAATAAAGAATCATCGATCTTAAATTTGTCTGTTTGAATTGTAACTTGATTTCCTTGGAAATTCCTAATGCACACCCACTTGTTTGGTAACACTCTTACTTCCAATGGCAGAATGAAGCTCCTAAGGACTCAATAGTCAAAGATGAGAAAACCTCCCAGACAGAAACTGTTCCAACGATGCCGGAAAAGCAAGAGGAACCGAAGCCTGAGGCCCTTCTGGTCTCAGACGCTGTTGCTCCAGTAACGCCTGAGCCTGATAAGACATCCACAGTTGTGGTACCAGTTGTCGATGTCTCGAAAGACGAGAAGAAAACCGAAGAGAAAGAACACAAGTGAGCTTTTGCAAAATTGTTTCAAGGTGTGTGACAATTAATGGAGGCATGTAATAAATAGTAATAGGTAGATCAAAGGATAAGCTAGCCTCCTTGTTGGGTTTCTTTCTTTTGAGGCAAGGAAAGGTTTATGACTTCAAAACAAGAGTTTTAAGGGGAGTCATTTGTTGTTTGGTGAATATTGTTGTTTTCAAATGATTTGTGACCAGTTTGTTGTTCTTTGATGGTATATGAGTTGTGTTATATTCATCTTTTACAGTTGATGCAATTTAAATCTCTCTGTTGATGCACACACTCTCTTTCTAGCACATATTCATCATAATTGTGGTAACTCTGTATTACGTGGTATCATCATTCAATAATAATTATTGTTACAGAATAGTTTAAGGGCTTTCTTGAAAAAAAATTTCCCAAGAAAAACCAAAAATTTTGTGTGTAAAAGTTATCTCCAATTAAAGTTTTCATCAGAACACTATTCAAAGCAAGGCCGGTGGTAAAAATATTTCCTAGGTAAAATTTTCGTGGGTAAAAATCAATTTTCTTGTATTATATGCATCGATAATAATACAAATCTCTCTCTCTCTCTCTCCTTATTGTACGCAATTGTATTAACTATAAGTATTGGTTAAACTTAGGAGTTACCAACAAGATTGAACCCAAAAAGTGTTGTACACAAAATTTTCAATAAATTATACAAATGAATATAAATAGGAATAAATTAAGGGCTTCTATGAGTCTTACATTCCATAAATACTTGTAGAAATCGTTGATGCAAAAAACAAATTGAATCTTACCTTCTATAAATACTCCTTCTTGGACAACTTTTCAACAGCTCTTACCCAATATAATGATATTGCGTACAATTATCACAGACGGTTTGCTATCAGTAAGGCTAAAGATTCATCAAGTCTAAGTTCGGAAAACCTGTTTCGGTATAAATCCCTAAAAAACTTTCATAAATGACTGTTTTTTTCACTTGTCTGTCTCTCTACGTAAGTAGTAGATATGAAATTCCACCCCCACCATGTGAGATTAGTGAGATTTAATTTCAGTTACACTCCTTCTAATTTAACATATCTTCAAGAATATCCTCCCCTCTATTTTTTTAAATTTTCATTGACATCTCTGTCAGATTAATGACGTCGACTAGAATGTAATTTTACTAAATTGTCTATGTTATATTTTAAGAAAATTTTTATCTACACTCTCTCTAGATAGGCACATCATCAATGAAACCCCATCTGCTTTCTGAATCTTTTTACTTAATAAAATTTGGGTTGATTAAAATTCAATTCGAACTAATTAAAATTTATTTTTTACCTATTAGAATTAGAGTTGATTAAAATTTATAATCAGCCCAAATTTTGATACATAAAAAATAAATTTTAATCAATTCGAATTTTAATCGAATTTTATATAAAAAGATTGTTTGAGATTTATGTAAAGGCAATTTTAGTATTTTAGATGTTTTTTTTTTGTTAGAAATGATAGTTTATATTTATATATAAATATAAATTACGGGGAATGCTAGTGATGTTTTGAATAATGGAAGGGTTTCATTGAAAATATATTGGTTGAGCAGTGCAGTGTGCTTTTTAGGCAAGTATACTTTGTTGCTGCATCCCGTGAGCCATACTTTTCTATGGACATCATAATACCCCACCATTCCTTAGAGTATCTCCAATAATGCTATCTAAAATAACTATTTAAAATATATTTAAATATTATATTATTTACTATAACTAATCACTTTTTTAAATTTATTCCAATAACGCAATCTATTTTATCTAACCATTTCAACTAACTTTAACTAACTTTCAAAAATAAAATTTAAAATCCTATGTAGTATGTCATNTTAACTAATCACTTTTTTAAATTTATTCCAATAACGCAATCTATTTTATCTAACCATTTCAACTAACTTTCAAAAATAAAATTTAAAATCCTATTTAGTATGCCATGTCATCATCATATTGATGACATCATATGATATCGTGTTACGTCACGTCATCAAAATTTAAAAATTTTGATTTTTATAAATAACGATCATATTTACAACGTTCACAAAATTCAAAATTTTAAATTTGCTGCCACTATAAGGATATTCAGGTAAAATAGTTGAACTAAAGGGGGATCCATTGGCATTGCTAATCTGATTATAGTAGCAACAATTGCACAAATGCATATGGTTCGTTGAAGCAAAAGGTCATCAATGCAAGAACAAAAAAGAACATGGTTCACATTGCAATGAATATGACAGACAGACATAGCCAACGAATATGGTTCACATTGCAATGCAAGAACAAAAAAGAGAACAAAATATCGAAAAGATCAATAACTCTTGATAGCAAAATCACATATTTTCTTGATAGCAAAATCAAAAACTCAGGGGCCGTTTGTTAACATATTTATTTTTTCGTTTTCAAAAAACCAAAAACATAGACAAAAAATTATCCCTATTTTGTGATAAACACTGAAACAAAAAACATGTTTGGTAATCATTTTTGTCTATCAAATTATGAGAATAAAAACAGAAAACATGTTTAGTAACTACCTCAAATTTTATCCTAAATGATTTACAATCATGTATTACAAAGGAGTTACAAGAAGAAAAAGAATTCAAAAATTCTAATTACAAAGGAGTTGGCTTTAATCCTTCGAAAATGATTAAAACCAAAAACTAACCAAAACAGTCTATCTACCAGCTATACAAATCCATGGCCCAAGCAACCATAACCTACCTGCTGACATAACCCAAAGTCTGGAACTACTTCCCTCTAGCTACTGAACCAACATCTCCTTACNTACAAAGGAGTTGGCTTTAATCCTTCGAAAATGATTAAAACCAAAAACTAACCAAAACAGTCTATCTACCAGCTATACAAATCCATGGCCCAAGCAACCATAACCTACCTGCTGACATAACCCAAAGTCTGGAACTACTTTCCTCTAGCTACTGAACCAACATCTCCTTACAGTGCTATGATCCTATAGCTCAGTTATTGCACCAAAGCTCTCAGCTCAACTCACGGCAGAAAAATGCCAGAATAGCAGATATCTACTGAAACAAAGCAGAAAACCAANACCAAAGCTCTCAGCTCAACTCACAGCAGAAAAATGCCAGAATAGCAGATATCTACTGAAACAAAGCAGAAAACCAAGTCCAACAACCCATCAAAAAGACCAGTCACTCTCATCATTATCACCCCAGCAGCCATATTCAAGAACCATCCCAACAAAAGCCATGAAACTAACAGTCATAGATCTGGAACCACAATATACTGCCAAGACTGCCAACAAAACAGAAAACAGAGAATAGTGTATTCCCTGTACAGTTGCTGCCCAGCTGCAGANACTGCCAACAAAACAGAAAACAGAGAATAGTGTATTCCCTGTACAGTTGCTGCCCAACTGCAGATCTTTAACCAAAAAGCACCAGCTCACAGCCTGTAACAAATACTGCAGTATCCTCATAGCAAAGCATGCTCTCAGCACAGCAGAAAAGTTCTCTGCACCAATTGCAAATCGTCATCCTGAATCATCCAATTATTAGTAGAGATTGTGATTGAACAACAATAAACCAATGCTTGACTATAGATTTCAGTTGCATCAAGATTCACATACACAATTCTTTCCAAAGGGATGATTGATCTTCTAAAATAAAAGAATAAAAGATGTCATAGCAAAAGAATACATTGAAGTTTCATATTCTAAAATGATCAAAAAGAAACCAGCAAGCTCAACACAGCATCAACAAAGGAGTCTCTCCACTCATTTCCAAATGATTTTGTGTTGGTTGCTCTACCATTCGTAACAATTCTTATAGAAAGAATTTTCACATCATATTCTTTCTGTCGTTTCTCTCTTGGGATATTCAAATGATTCAAACAGTTCCCAGTCATCAATATATGAAACATCAGATTATTTAGGAGAAGATACAAAGGCCATATCTATGATCAAATCAATTGATGAAGCTTTTTAAATCACCAAAATACATACAAAAAAAAGGTATCATGAAATAATATGTAAGAAGCCCTCACCTGTGCAATTCCCAAAATTGTTCCAAGATTATTATGTTTTTGCCTGCAATGGTTTGGCATACAATTTATAAGAAATCTGAAATTGCCAATTTTTTTGTATAGATTTAATCCGTGTTAAACAATTCATGCAACATTGAAATCAGAAATTGTTCGAATAATAAATAGCTCAAAAGATAAATATACAATGGAAATAAGCAGTAATCCAATACTTCAAATATTCGAAAGCAATGAGCTAGTTCAATCCCAATTTCAATATCAATTCAATCACAATCACAACACACATAGAACACAACGCACACACACCCAACACACCTTTTTAACACCCCTATATATGTGTGTGTTGAGAGAGAGAGAGAGAGAGAGAGATATGTATATATGTGTACATAGATGTGGATACATTAATCCTACTATTGGTTGGGTTGTTCAAGTGAATCATGAGGACTTTTGACTTGGGCAAGGGCAACTAAAAGTTGACATGTATTACATAGCGTCATTTTGAACCAATTGGTGGTGGTTTGACAACTTGACATGGTTCTTTAGAGTCATATGTAATCGAAGCAGCCGGGTAAAAAAAAAACATAAGAGAATCATAGAATATTCAAGCTAAGATTGGTTCAAACAAATTAACATGAGAAAATTGGGTTTATCTCAGTGATTAAAAATTTATCTACTTTTATACACGATTTTAGGTCGAGTTCTATCACCTCTGCATAATGACTCTGTTCTCTATTTCTCTTAACTATAATTTAGCTTATTTTTTGTAAATAAATAAAAAGAAACAAACTAAAAAAAAGTGTTCTGGTTCTGGGTTTTGATTCTAGAAGGTAGCTGAATCTCTAAAATATATTATTACAAGGGAACTTTTCTTAGTTTACTGGGTCAATTTGAGTTAGGCACCACATTGATTTCAACTTCAGTTGTTACAAACTACCAAAATTATTCAAACTATGGGTTAGGTTCTCTCTCTCTCTCTCTTAAATTTTTTTTTTTAGGTCATATGAAGAACTTAAAAGTAAGAAAAAGTTGGGTCAAATGGATCACACACACACACCAATCACACAAAAAACAGACGCAAGACACATAGATATATGCACATATATACATTTATGCACAGATCTGTGTATATATACATATATATACACAGATTTGTGTGCATATATATATAGAG